GGTTGGCGGGGGGGGGGGTGGGGTTAAAACAAGCAAACTATTTTGGGCAACGATATTCATTAAAAAATATATTTTATTAAATGTCGAGTAACACATCCTCATGTCATTTGTAAGAATTCATTTTAATCAATTTAATTGCAGCTCATTTACTGACATGTTAATTGTATTATCATCACCGTTGTCATATTTTGGCTTGTTTTAATGGAATGTTTTTTTTAATGTTTTGTAAACAAACGCGTTTGGACTCACAGTTGTGATTTCAACTTCACGAAAAACTATTGGAATGAAAACACCTTCATTTCAAAAATGCAATTCAGTTCCTACTCAGTGTTTCTTGTCTGTGTGTTGCTCTTTCCGCCGCCGCCCCACCTAAAAAAAAATGTTTCCTCGTCAAGAAGATATGTGGCCATTAAAAAAAAAAAAAAAAAAACAGTTGAAGATATGTGGCCATTAAAAAAAAAAAAAAAAAAGCTGTTGATGTCGTTTTCCATCACCCGCCGGGAACAAAAGACAAAAAGAAGAAAAGAACAAAGAAAGAAAGGAAGATAACAAGCCAATCGAACTCATGGCGTGACGACATGTCGGGTTCCAGGATCGATACCTGCGTTCCCAAGAGCGGCACGCAAACATGTTAACGCACACGCACGAAGGCACCCACGTGCGCGCACGCACACACACACACACACACACATGCGCGCGCACACACACACACACACACACACACCACCACCCTAAAGTCATTCATTCACCCACTTTTTTAACGTTTTTTTAGTTGGGTAGTGATTGAGCAAAAAAAAAAAAAAAACTAAACAAAACATTTGGAGTCATGACGTCAACATACAAGGTTGCACTGAAAAAAAGATCTGTGAGTTGACTAAGTGGTAGAAATGGGTGACGTTCAAGCACAAAAACAGACACGTGTTTGTTTTTTTTTTTGTTTTTTGGGGGGGGGGGGGGGGAGACAAATAATTACAGTTGTGGAAAGGCACTTGTCAAGCGCTGCAATTTGAGGTCCGACTCGCTGCCGTTTCTCGAGTCAAGTTTTATCGAGCCGATTGGTGAGTTTAAAAAGCGCTGCAGTTGGGGCGAGATTTTCCTCCGTCAAAATGAAACGGGGTTTTTGGTGATCGGTTCACCGTACAAGGTGCCGTTGGTAAAATAACGACAATTCCGGGGAGTTTTCGTGAAGACCTTTCATTTCGGGTCGGATGAAATGATCGGTCGATTGGATTGAAGAAATCAAAAGACATTTTCACGCAGAAGCAATTTTTGGGAGTGATGGCATCAAGATTGGAGGTTGGATTGGGAAAAAAAAAACGTTCTAAAATTGGCATGTGTTTGTTCAGCTATTTCATTTGAGGAGTTTTTTTTTTTTGTACCCTAAATTGAGGAAAAAAAAAATTGGAAAAAATAGATATAAATAAGTACCTGGGATTTAATGCGTGGAGTTAAGTTGCTGACAGTTAAAAAAAAAAAACAAAACCGATGTGTCGCTGTAGAAAGTGTAATTGGCAAAATAACGACAGTTGTGCAAGGTACTCATCAAGCGCTTTGATTTTGAGCTACGACTTGATGTGCTTTGTCCCATCAAATCATATCGTGCTGTTTTTTTGTTTGTTTGTTTTTGAAGCCCAAAAAGATTTGGGGTGATTGCGTTCCAGAATAATTACAGTTCAAGGCCCTTCCATCTTCTGTGTCACGCCATTTGCTTTGTCAACAATTGAGTTTTGACTTTGATACTGGTAAATTTGACTGGAAAAGAGATTTCACAGTCAGTCAGCATCTAGAGCCACCAAAAATGGATCCAAAGTTGAAAGTTTGGGGACAACTGGTTGAACCCATGTCCTTGGTGTGACATATTTCAACTTGTCACCTCGTATCCCCCTCGCCCCCTCCTCCCAAAATAAAAACCAAACATTGGGAACAGAACAGGTTTCAATGCTGATTTGAGTGAGGCGCGCGTCGCGTGGGCAAGGCGGAGCGGCGACGCCTGTGGGCAAAGTCCTCTCGCCCGACATTATTTTGCCAGCTCCTCCTCGCTGACGTTCGGCAGGAAGCTTTTTAACGGGCCGCTGCGCCAACGGCCTCCTCCTCGTGATGTTAATAAAGTGGAGAGCGCCTCGAGCCGCGCCGTAAAAGCTGCACATGTTAAAAGTGGCCATAAATATTAATACGCCGCAGAAAAAACACCGGCCGGCGCGCGTGCGCGAACAGAAGACAAAGAGCCAAATTTGACGTCGCGGGCAGGCAGCACTTGTGCCGAGCTCATCCACAACGCGCATCGCATCCGAAAGCCCTTTTATGAGATCATAATTAAGAACTGGAGAATGCTTTTTTTTTTTTTTTTATGGGACGACAAGAAAATCGGTAATGCCGATGACTGGAAATGAATTGGAGTGCTGATATGTTGGAATGGCTGAAGCGAATCTGTAAACGGTCTCCATGAATGTATGCATTAAAAATGTGGAATTATGCGTGGAAATTGTGGGACCATCACCAAAATGTCAAACGGCCTTCCAGTGGATCCTGATGCTCGCGCCGGGAAAGATGCGACGCTTCGAAGTGGAGGCAAAAAATGCTAATGCCGATTGTTAACAACTTTTGTCATCATTTTTTATGCTTTTGATTTTTGTTCTTACTATTTTATTTATTTGTTGTTTTGAAAAAAAATCCACTTTGCTGCCGTAAAACTGCAGCCTCCTTATTGCGGGACTAATAAAGACTGAATCTGTCCTTTTCCTTGTTTTTCCGGTCAATCTTTTTTCTATTCTGTGGGCAAAATAAACGACAAAGACTGAGATGTTGCGTTTTAGTTGAAAGAAATAAAAACGGAACATAAATGGAGCTGAAAGAGTGTCTGGGGGGCGAGGGGGGAAGTTGAGCAAAAAAACAAAAACAAAACAAAAAAAGTCCCACATTATTGAACTACTGTATGTTGTTGTTGTTTTGTTTTTGATGAGACGTCACAGATTGATCGGCCCGGTTTGTGAAGATGTTGCTTGACCCTGCTCAGCCATTAGCGGGAGAAACTTTCTTTGAACAACGGCAGCGCGCCAACGACTCGCAGCCAATTTCCCCGGCGGGAGCGAAACGGGCGCTTTTCGGCCACTTAGCGACGACAGAATCCGCCGCGCCGTGCGGTAGCGGGTGAAAGGTCCCGGCAGAAAGACGCCGTTTAACAATGTCGAAAGCTCTGGAGGGGAGGGACCACGTCAGGGCGGCCGGGTATTCGGCGCTGGGGGTCGGGTGATGAGAGGCGGGGGAAGGACGGGGGAGGAAAAAAGCAATGGTTCATCTTGTTCTGGCCGACCACACGGTATGGATGCGTCGCATGTCAATTGCGCCGCCGTTAACAAAAGAAATAGGACAGATAAGAAACGGAGCTTCCTTTACCGTGCGCACTGTCATTATTTTACAAGCGGTAGAATTATATCGCCGTGGATCTTGAAACTGAAGCTCAAGTGATCATTTTGAACTTAAAAAAAAAAAAAAAAAGGCAGACTTTCCGTGTCGCTAAGTCCAACAGAATCTGGGGGCTGAGTTTTCAAAACAATTGCGGGGGCTCGAATCCCTCCAAATGATGACTCACTTGTCTGCTGCCGACCAAAACGGCAGACGCGCCGATTATCTTCGGGCGCGCAACCCCAAGACTTTTTCGCGGGTCTGCGCATGACGGGCACCGCAAATTTCACGTCGCCGAGTCAAACTGGCACTCACGTGGAACCGCCATAACAGATGTCTAAGCCCTTTTTTGGGGGAGGGTCAATCATATCGCGTCACGAGTGACCCTCAAAATGAAATCCGGCGGAGGGGTTGCAAAATGACGGCGATTTTCAACGTTGGAAACTGTCCGTGGGAATTCATGAAAGAATCGAATTCGGGCAAATTTATCGGAGCAGAACTTGACATGCGACTGAAGTGAATTGTGAATGGAACACGGGCGTGTTTTCTGAGACGATGACTCAAGGAGGGAAAAGAAGTGGAAGAGAAGCCAGAAGAAAGGAGCCGGGCGGAGGAAGAGAGGCAATGCGGAGAAGAAAACATACGATACCCCACGCTTAGAGTTCTCCACGTGTGAATCTCTCTATCGGAGCAAGAAAGGCAAGAGGGCAGGCACGGGGCAGGACGGGAAGGGGCGGAGCCAAAACCAGGACGCAGGATGGAGAGAGAGAGAGAGAGAGAGAGAGACATAAAAGGGGCGAGAGACCACAGTCAGAGAACTCATCACAGTCGGCCCGCTGCTTCTTTTTCTTGAGACCCCTCCCACCCCAAAAAAAAAAAAAACCCAAAATGTTTTGTGCGTGCAAATACAGAAAAAGGAAAAACGTGGCTGACTGCCGCGGTTGACTCTGCGCTCGCATTCACGTCGGTATAAAACAACCGTAGCGTGGCTTTTTCCTGGGTGAACCGCCACTCACAGGTGCACAGATCTTATTCAGAATTCCTACCCGGTAACTTTGACGACTATTCTTACAGATTTGTATTTCTTGGTTCACATCGATTTATGTTTTATGTCGAGTGCGTTTCATCATACCGACTTCAGCTTTGTGAGCGGTCGCAAGTTGCGCCATTGGATGTGTACAGTACATGCGGTGCATTTGAGCGCACGAAGAAGAGGCAGAGAAGGTCCCCTACTAAGCAGAGGAAAATATTGGCCCGTGAGCGATGTTGCCCTGGAGGCTTTGTTTGAACATTTTGGCTCGTACATAATTCACGTTGAACTTTTTGTTGTCGGTGTTCCTGCAGTCGTTTGACGGTTTCTACTAGCGTAGCGTCTAAGCCTCAATGCTAATATCCGTTAGCTCATCGAAAGCATTACATGACCCTGATGTTAGCGTTAACCTGGGGACGTGTGAATTTGGTTAACATTGTTGATTTGAAGATTTTTGAGCTTACGATTGTCTTTGTTTTACAGTAAACATTTTGCATTTTTATGACTGGTCAGGAATAATCTCGCATTTTAATAAACAGTTGAAACTGTGTTGGAGGTTTGAAACAATTATAAAATGTCCCTTTTTTTTTTTTTTTTTGAACAAGGCTCCGTCCAATCTTGCCTTCAAGCTTTTTGGAGACATTTTTGAAGATCCTCGGGGTTGCAAAGGTTTAACTAACAAGCGTTTTCCATCAGAGAGCACGTGTCATATCAATCATGTTTTTGAGGCTGCGTTTATTATTTATAGACGGTGGTCTTCGGGCCCTCGGGCGCTGCTTTCCGGACCCCCCCTGAGGGCCACCTGGATGTGGTAACATCACATTCCCATTAAGACTTCACTGCCGTCTTTATTAGCGACGTCCGCTGCCTTCTCAGGGAAAATAAGCGTCTCGCTGAAAGATTAATCGGACAGTTGCCTGCGCTCGTATCAAGATTTTTTTTTTTGTTTTTTAACCCGGAAATAATGGATGGGCTCTGAGAGGCTTGTGAGACATTGTTTGACAGAGGCCAAAACAGTTTGAGAGGCATCAGGAATAAGTGAAATTTGGACCAAGCTAAAAAGAGGCTCGACGACAATGCTGTCGACAGGCAGGAAGTCGGAATAACGCGCTCAAGACATGAATTTGTTTTTTTTTTTAATAAGTGCTAGCGGTCTCACAAATATGTTTTTGACCCGTTGGACTTAGCAACATATCGGTGCTGAGAAGACCCACAAAAACAGGCGCAAGAAGCCTGAAAAGGAGTCTGACATTTTGCTTTGAAGCGGACATTTTAAGGATTCAAAACCGGTGGAATGGCTTTTGAAATTTCAGCTCCCAAATTCAGCAAAATCACCTTTGCTTTACATGTCTATCTTGAGTCAAGCCACCCAAAAAACAAATAAAAAATCGAAACTGCCATGCTTGAAAAGAAACGCAGAAAGTCAGCTTGTTTGCTTTGAAGCAGACAGTCTATGCCCAACTGCTCCATTGCATCCAGTTGACAAAAAGAAAGAAAGAAAGAAAAAAATCTCCCCAAAGCCAGTTGAACTGAGCGACATGAAATTTGGTCGACGTGTCTAAAAAGCTAGTCTGAATAAGCCACGTCTGAAAAGACACTTTTAGGTTTGAAGCGGACATTTTACCGTCGGTTTCATTGAAAATGTCAAAAAAAAAAAAAAGCCAGTTTCCTTTGGCAACATGAAATTTGGGAGGCATACGTATCACGAGTAGACCACCAACAAAAGAAACTCTGCCAGTTTGATTTGGGGCGGCTGTTGTTCCAGTGAGCTTGGCTATTTGCGGGGTTCCTCCAAAGGCCAACTCCGGCAAGATATTCTGTCCGGCTGCTTTCATATTGCAATCGCGTAAACAAAACTGCAAAGAACTGGCTTTTTGCTCGTTGGGCATGGCGGCAACATTTGATGACCGCCTTCTAATGGGCGAGGCGCGCAGTGGTCAAGAGTTTCCCAAATTTACAGGAAGCTTGCGGTCGTTAAGCGTTTGAACACTTTCTTTCAATCTCGCTGCTACGCCGTCGCAACAAACGAGCACGCCGACGCTTCCGCTGATTGCATTAGCATACGTGTCGGATGCTCGACAATCACCGACGTTCCGCGGCGAGTGGCCACTCGAGGCTCCGTGTTGCGCTTTCTCATGCCGATAAAAAGAAAGAAATAAAACATAGCGCGGCGGGCTTTGAGCGCTGCGGCGTCAAGGTCTGAAAGGAGGCGGGAAAAAAAACAAAAACAAACAACACGAGACGAAAGCGATCAGCGAGCACAAAGTACTGCTTGTTTGTCGGTAATAGCGGCCAGAATGTCTGAAAATATCGATTTAAGATGGAGAGGTCTTTTGGAAAGACGCTCACCACAATTTAGCTTTGATGAAGCCACGAGACGCGTTCTGATGATAACTTTCTTATCAATTTTCAAAAAAATGTCGACTGCATTTGTAGCAGAGCGAAGAAGAAGAAGAAAAAGAAAGCAAAGAGAGGGAGGCGATGGCGGAGAGCTGGTGTGGCAAAAAAGAAATCAAAATTGTGTGGAAAACTGAAATATTTGACCACCCATTTTTCATTTACTCATTAATTATTGTTTGATGTACTTTGATTTCACTCTTATTTCATTTGGCTGAAGTATATCTACTTTATATTTATTCCAGCTAGCGTGGAAAAAAAAAAAACACAACTGTGCAGAAAACCGAAACATTTAACATTTTTGAACGTATTCAATGTATTTAAAATTTTTGAGTTTGAGGTGCTTCAATTTCTCTTGTTTTCTTATTATGTATGTCCACTCTTGAAATTGATTCAACCAAGATGGTGTGCAAAAAAACAAACAAACAAACAAACAAACAAAAAAAACCATCCTAATTGTGGGCAAAATGGTTTTTTTTTCCATTTTTAAACGCAGCGATAGTGTTCAAACTAGTGCGGTTTTTGTTGTTTTGGTTTCCATAACAGTTCATCTTTTTAATATTTGCATTTTCTGTTCAGTTGTATTTAACGTTTACCAAGTGTTGCTATTAAAAAAAAAAAAAAAAAAAAATGGAAAAAGAAGTTTGTTTGATCAGTTCCCCCAAAAACTGCACGACGTGCGCGGAGGGCGACGACCAACCTGCGCTTGAAGGTGAGGACGAGGCCGAGGAGGATGACGACGAACATGAGAATGCCCGTAATCACGCCCGCCAACTTGACCGTGCCGTCCACGGGTTTTTCCGGCTCCATGGCGTCCGAGTCCTGCGTGGAGGCGCCTATGCGGGAAGCGCGCACACACACACACAAAGTCACAGGGGGGGTTATAAAGTCACACAATTTACACAAAAATGCATGGACACGGGCAACAATCGCAAAGTGAAGATGTTTGTGCATCACATTCGTATGAAGTCATGCGGGGAGGTCAACGTCATGCAACACAGCAACATGAAATTTTGTAGACGTGTATCATGAGTGGATCAACAAAAAAAAGTTTGCGGAGTTCTGTCCAGTATGGAGGACAGTTTTATGTTGTGGTTTGAAAGCGGTCATTTCCGGCTCTTTTTGTGGGTCCTTTGAATTGTTTTGAAAATACACTCCTCGAAGCCAGTTGAACTTAGAAAAGATCAAATTTGGTCAACATGCCAGTCACGAGTAGAGCCACAAAAAAGTCTCAAAAAGCAATGCCACAGGAAGGCGGCCATTTTGGGGTTGAAGCCGACGCTGCGGGTCGTTTGGGCCATTTCTGAAAATTCATCCCCCAAAGCCAATTTGACTGACGAACACAGAATTTGGGTGCAATGTCTAAAATGGCTAGACCCACAAAAAAGAAACCGCGCCCGAAACGCATTTTCTTTCAAAACAGCCATTTGGGGCTACATTGACACTACGAAGAAATTCCAATTTCTGTCCCCATAGGTAACAAGTATCTGATTTTTTTTCATGGAATGTGAACGTTTCACTTCAGAGTTTTTTCAAATCCCACCCGGGCCTCTTTCATGTGTTCATGTCAATGGGATCGACACGTGACGCGTCTGAAGTGCGGACGCTCGGGTCGCACTCATCCGACGTCATCAAAAGCCGAGCGGGAGAGTCTTTCGCGAAATCCGACTTCAAACATCAAGCATCAATCGGACATTCCTGGTGATAGTGATGATTCAGTCGTGCGGAAGGATCGTTTATTTGGCGCGGCGCTGACCTGACGCCATATTTGGTCGGAGTCTCCGTGCAATGAGGAGATCAAGGGGCGTCGTCTCATTTCCCCAAATGATTTCTACCTCGCTCATCTGTCCGTGCGAGATGAGCCCCGACACGCCGGATCATACGAGCAATACTTTGGATTTTAGCTCCCGATGACAGACGCTCGGGAATTGACTCCACTTTCCGAGCGACCCGAGCGGAATAAGCGTTATGGAAAATGGATGTCGGGAATAAACGGAAAGAATGAAAAACCTTTTAGCCTTGTGACTGCTGTCAAAATCAATGGAATGCCCGGAAGCTTTTGATGACATTGGCGGCGCCATAAAAAGCGAGTCGGGCAGGCGTGCGGCATCCCGACAGGCATCGCGGGAATGTTACGTATTCGGTCTTAACGAGGAGAAAATCAGGACTTCTTTTCAGTTCCAACTTGAGTCCGTTTTTTTTTAATTCCACCCCGGAAATTTGAAAAACTTGAGATTTTTGCACAATCGAGCACATTTTGTGACCACTTGCGTCACTTTGACTGTTGTAAATAGTTTGTGTATTGTTTTTTTTTTTTTTTCCTTATGTATGCCTCGTAGATTGCAGGTGTTTACAGTTTTTGCTATTGTAGATTTTTGCTGGCGTACACGATATCATTTTTGGCCGTATTATTATCCCATTCGGTTTTTGCTGTTGAATTTTTCTCTTTATTAAGTTTACTGTTGTATATATATATTTTTTTTTGATACACATTGTTTCTTGTTGTTTTAGCTGCCATGCACCCTTTTTAATGTGATATTTTTGCTGCTAAATATTATTTAGTTTTTCATGCCCTATTGCTACGATGTCTACTTTATGTACACTTATTCCACTGGACAGTGTTATGCATATATCTATCTATATATATATATATATATATATTTTTTTTTTTTTGCTAATGACGACACTCGACGAGAGGCTCACTCCACGGCCCGTCGAGCTGCGCGTTTGTCATTGCGCGAGAGCCCGCGGCGAGTTCCCGCGTCTCCGTGTGGTCCCCGCCCTCCTCATCGTGGCGAGAGCTTCATCAAAACGCCATCATCGCGCCCCATCACGGCCCCGCAGTTTCATCAGGTCGTGTAGTTTCATCATCCTCCCCGCGGGCGGCCGCCGTCCCACCGCTCGCTGACACATTAGCGCCCGACCCCATTTGTCCGCACTTGAGCGGATTTGGCAGTCGAGCGCGTCAGGCGGCCCCGACGGAGAGCATCCGCTCACCACTTGAGCGTCTGGCTAGATGTTAGCGGGTGAGCGTTTGATCCATTCCCATTGGCCATTTACACCTCACGCTGCGTCACGACATTATCGAGGCCGGCTGGGCGACTTGTTTGACCTTTTGCCCTCGGGGAGGTGCTACAGGTGTGTCAGCGGAAGGACAAAAACACACAAGAACATTTATTTTTTTTTTTTTGTACCTTCAAGCCACACTGACTCCACAGTCCGATCCACGGTGCCTGCAAGGCACATGTTGCTTTTTTTTTTCTATCCTTCTGCTGTGGCTCACCGTGACTTTGGAAGATGAATTTAACCCTTTCAGGGACCGCGGTGACGACAGTGGACAACTTATGTTGTCAGGATGCAGAGTGCATGAAAGGGTTCGATTTCAAATGTTGTCATTCTTTTTAAACGTAATGCTAATTTTGAAGATGATTGCGCTGTGTTCACATCAAAATACATGTTTTTTGTGTTCTCAAAAATGTGCGATGTCAGGATTTCCGGAGCTAAACGCGGACGGATAAGTCCAAGAGAAGAACTGTTGAAATGAATGTTTTAATTGACCTTTTGAATTCAAGTGACCAGCTGACAGCACGCTCCACCTGCCGCCGCAAAACGGTGACGCAGGTGGCATTTTGGATTGGGTGAAGAGGACAATTTAGTTTTAAGATGCTCACTAGGAGGAGGACTCAAACACACCTGGTCTCTTTGATTTTGAAAGTCCCCTAAGCTTCAACCAAGTGTCATTTTCCAGAGTTGAAATTGTTTTTGTCACAAAGTTGATAAGAATTGACAGATAATTGCGCAATGACTGTTGTTTCGTGAGTCAACCACTGGCCGGAAGGATTTTTTTCAGATTTTTTTTTTTTTTTTTTTTTGGCAGCCTTCATAAGTACACAATACTGTGAAATAATACGGGTATCGGTCCCATCCCGACTCACCCATCAGAAAGAGTGCTTAACCAAAGGACAACATGTCTCATCCTTATACATTTGATTGAGCATTTTGGTCCTCAGGTTGTGATCTTATTATTAATTTGTATAACATTTGGTGGCATGTTAGCCTTTGATCAGTCCTCAATAGAAATTGAAATCAACGGTCATCTCTCTGCCTCTGTGAGTTTTGTACTGGAGTTCTTGCTCTATGATAGCACAGCAACTGTTAGCACGTTAGCATTTGTCAATTCAAGTGTGTATTTCTTTTCTTTATTCACCATTACTTATCCAGGTGAGGCAATTTCTCATTTGCAATGCCAACCTGGCTGGACATAGTTTGTGATATAGGACCGGTGATGCAAAAAAAAAAAAAATAATAATCATTTTTTTATATAAAATAACTTTATAATATTTTAGATTTTTCTACAATCTGAATATGTGATATATCGCGCACAGCATATAAGTATTATTAATGCAGGACTTAATCGCTTTAAGGTGGTTTTTTTTTTTTCCATCTGTAACCACGACAACAAGGCCAAGTATTGTATTCATCATCGTCCTCATCATCCGGCGTGTAGGTGTTGTTCCTGCATACATTTATTTTGAACCATTTCTGGACATGTATTTTTATTTTCCCCTCGCTTTGTTTATCCCGCTCGCTCGGATTGCATGATGAAGCGATCCGAGGGGAATTGCGCAGAAGCGCGCAGATATTAAAAACTTAATCTCATCCAAACACACAAGATTGATTCTTCTCGCACTGGCCCCGAATGAGATATTAGGTGCATCTTTATTTTACGCCGGCGCGCGTGCGTTTGTTGACTACCGCCGGAACATGTTTGTAATATCGCGGCGGAGGAACGCAACCGGTCATACATTATTGAGTATTTACTCCAAACATTATTGAGTATACATACATAAATTGCTGCCATTTTAAAAGCAAGTCAAGTCTGAGTGGGAGCGCGTGTGTGTTACAAGTTGAATGCTGCGTGTGGATTTTATGCAGGGGTGGGGGGGGGGGGGGGGTGGCGCCGTGG